AATCAGGAACTTCTATTCGAACAAACCTCACCTGCCGTCCGGATCACAGATTTTAACAAGGTGGCAACACTAGCACGGAATTTTCATTACTTATTCTGTGACGAAACTGAATTTTAGTCTTTTAAATTGAGATACCTAAATAAGGGGGGCGAAATTTTCCTCCGCCCGGGCGGCTGACACCCACGCTACGCCACTGAATTTTCGTCCTGAAGATTGGAGAACATGGATAGGGCGTTTCGAACGATTTCGAACAGCGTCTGGACTCCATAATAAAGAGAAAACTGACCAGGCAAATTCTTTCATATATTTAATGGGACAGAAAGCCGAGGAAATTTTGGCGTCATTTAGTCTCCCAGAAGAGGATAGAAATGACTATTCAAAAGTTAAGGCGGCATTCGAAAAATACTTCGTCCCAACTAAAAATGTTATATACGAAAGATATAAATTCTATTCTCGGTTTCAAGGAGATACAGTGGAGAATTTCGTGAGTTCATTATTTAGTCTGGTTAAAACGTGTGATTTCCCTGCTTCGTTTCAAGACGAAATGATTAGGGACAGAATAGTTTGTGGCATTAGGGATAAAAAGGTTTCGGAACGTTTGCAACTTGAAACGGAACTAACTCTGGAGAAAGCAATAAACACTGCGAGACAGGCTGAAACAGTGAAAAAGCAACAAGAAGCTTTTAAGAACAATTCCGGGAATAACATATGCATAATGCAAAACTGCACGTAGGAAGAACGTATTTTCAAAGCCGGAAGCTACCGAAAATTCGTTTACCGGAAACAAAACTTTAAATTCCTGTTATTGGTATGGAAAACCGGTGAAACACACTAAATTCTGTGAGGACCCAAACGGAGTCCGAAGGGAGGCAATTAACGACTTTTTGAATGAGTCAAGTTTCGTAGCGCGACAATGAACCTTTTGTCTTGTTAAAATATTTTAAACAATAGATAAAGTCGAGGAAAACGAGGTTGGAGAGGAGTCGTGTTCCGACACGACGTTGACCTCTCCGGTGCCCTTCGTTGGGTTTCGAGTTGTCACCATTTGACGAGGAGAGACCAATGGAGCGGCGACTGCGGTGGAAAAATCGATAAAACCGCGTTTTCGGGAACTTTGCGGGGTCTTGGGTTTTGGTGCGTAGTGTTCACCTGCTGGGATTTGGTGCTCACAACACAGAGACACAACTTAGGCTCTTTCGACGCCCTAGGAGCTGGTTTCGCCAACCTGTCACGTCCAGAATCGTTGAGGTTCGACCCGTCCACCGAGGACATCTCTACAAGCGCCGGTGCGTGACCCGGGGCCATCGTTCTCTCCGTCTAGCGTGCCGAAAAATACCCAAGGACCGACCGAACAGTCGAACTTTTCCGTTTTTATTGGAACTGTTAGAGTAACCCATCGTTGGATAGGCGCTCTCTTGGCTCATTGAATTATTGTAACAATTTATGTATATTATTAAACGGTTTTATATGGTAAATCTGTCGCGGGGAGTCATTCTGCGCCCACAAGACGGCATTGACCGCTTGGCTGTCGAAAACTCCTCACCCCAATCGGCTGACCTCACAATTCAATTGCCCTGCTCGTAAGGCGATCTATAATAAGTGCAAAAAAGTAGATCATTACGCAAAGGTCTGTAAAGCTAACGTGAGTATCAATGAAATAGGAGAACCTAATCAAAGTTCATTTCTAGGACATGTTAAAGGGTCAAGTAATATAAACAATAGCGTTAAGAAACAGCTTAACTTGTAAAGTTATGTATAACAGAAAAGTAAAAGTAGTTTGCTTGTTTAAGTTATGACAACGCAACACTTGGGCGATCTGCTTAGGGGGATGCCTTCCGGAAGGTCTTTTTTAGGGAAACTGGCCCCTATTTAAGCGTTACAGACATGGAGAAAACCCGGGAAAACTCCACGTGGCCATCCCGTCCAAACGAGGCGCGAACTACCGACCGAACTCCCAGTCTTCGTTATGTCATCCTTCAGATCGACTTTTTGTCAAGATCATCTCAGGTAATTTCCGAATTATTTCTGGGTGGTGTTATCTTTCCACAATAATTAGGAACGGCGGCTCGAGAGTTAATTTTCCTTGTGAGAGTTGTAGAGTTAGCTAATCTATCCTTATCATTTCTCAAACTTCGATATATAGTTGGGGCTCTTTATACAACCATACTAGATCCTTTACGAGCTGCTATTTCTTTCATGATGTTAGTTATGCCCCTGTTAAAAGTGAATTTCGTGATTCCCACTTTGTTGTTTTGTGTGTTTTCTTCAAACTTTCTAATCAGACCACCTATCATGCTAGTTCCATATCATAGTGTTGTGGCCATTTGTTTATTTTCTGTTCAGCTCCTTCATTTTGTCTATTACAATGGTTCCCAATTAGTGGTACGCGTACCCCCGGGGGTACGCGAGGCAATCTAAAATCGGTCGATTTAAAATTTAAATGCATGAGATAAAGCAATCAAAAAAATAACACAGGTCTTCAAAAAAATTTTTTTCCAGCTGCATGGAATATTTTTGCTGAATTATATGTTTTAAAGATCATAGATTTTAAAACTAACTTCCATTACATCCCATCATGTAAAGGTTTTTGCAAAATAAAAATTTAAATTTTTGATAAAAACTCTTATAATATATTTAGTTCATTGTAATAAATATTTTCTTACAATTTGTTGATTAGTTAATCAACAAATTGTTTCTGATATTTATACACAATTTTAGGTCTACTCTTTTTTCTTAGGAAACCTTTTCTTCTTCTTTCTGATGCTTCTCCAAACTCGTTTCCAATTTCCTTCTCTGGTTTCTGGATTGAGCATCCAACAGTAGTCAGCTAACGTATTGACATCCAATTTTCCTTTTTCACGTCTCTCGATATTACGGACATCCTGGTGAAATATTTCACCCTATTCTTCATTGTAGGCTCCCAAGTTTTCGGGAAAATAGTCAATATGGAAGTGTAAGAAATGAACTTTTAAGCTATCTCGCATCCTCGAAATTCATACGCTGCTGCCAGCATGCTTTGTACAATGGTTTTGTAGTCAGTGTCCTTAGTATTCCCCAAAAACTTATGCACTACATTCTTGAAAGAGTCCCATGCTTCTTTTTCGTTTTCTCTTATTGTTTCCAGAAATCTGCTTTGTCTCCATCTCCAAGTTTCAATTTGAAATATGCAAATTAAACTTTCTTAACAAACTCACTTATTTTTGTTGACTTTTTACTGTGTATTCATCACAAACATAACAGAAGCTGTCGAGAGAAATTACACAACCTCTGCGAGCCATATTCCAGAAATAAAAATACAAGCACAGTAGCGTTCGAATGCTGGATATAAACTGAGTGTGGCATTAGATGCCTGCGAGATACTAAACTTATTTAGCTTGTTGAAACACGATCTAATCCAACAGCGAGTTGTTTATATTTATTCCTAGTATCCCAGAAAACATGTCGAAACATGCTCAACCTCACCAATAATATTACTCCCTATCAACTTTTAACCTGTTTCTATACGATCATGCGACCTTCCTCCTAACGCTAAAACTATTTAACCCACCTGCCTCTACCACTACTCTCTTCAATCATTAACATTTTTTATTTATTTATTACCAAGTCCAGTTATAATTGATAGAATTAATGTGAGAAGTCTTCGTTTTAAAGCTATTTTTTAAATAAAAAGAAAAGAATCGTAAATTTTAAGTTAACTAGGAATTTTACGCTAAATACAAACAAAAACTTGAGTGTAACAAGTAAATTGACCAGATGAAATTTTTTTGGTATTTTTTTCGTTTTTACCAAGTTAAAATCTGTAAGAAAATGTATAAAAATCCTATGCAGTTTTTTACTTGCAGACCTGTGTAATAGGTGGACCATCAAAAATTCGGAAACTTACAACACGATGCCGAATGCGCAAATTCGTTTATTTATAACTAAAAATATTCTCGAAATTTCATCAAAAAATGCATTTGTGAATATATACCTAAATGATACCTAAATATGAAATGATACCTAAATGAAATTCTTACGCAAGAAACAAAAATTGTACAATTATCATTATTATCGTATCAACGAAGCGGCAATAAAATATTTACTATCATTTTGCATAACATACTTCTGCGAGAGCGGACAAACATGAATCGTCACCTATTTCGACTCGAGACTGAAGCTGACCAAAAACAAACCAGATTTTACAAAGTTGCGCAAAGAAAATCGTGCACATTTGTCGCATTAAAATTAAATAACCTTACGTTATTTTCATTATTATTAGAATTGTATTTTAAAGGTAATAAATGTAAAAAAAAAAAATTATTCTATTTGTCACTTGCTGTCTACCCACAGCTTCGCCCGCATTACTGTATATCGAATTTTCTCGTGGGGGGTAAGATATTTTCTCGCAGTAAAATGTAGCCTATGTCCATCTCCAACGTGTAAACTATCTCGTGTAAATTTTATTAAAACCTGTTCAGCGGTTTAGACGTGAAAAGGTGACAGACAGACAGAATTACCTTCGAATTTATAATATTAGTATGGATTAATATGAATTTCTGCTATAAGGGGTACTCGAGTTTGAGCTCTTTCTTGAAGTGGTACGCAGGAAAAACTAATTGGGAACCACTGCTCTAGAACGAAACGAAACTTGTTACGATTTGGGCTCGCGGTCGAATACGAATGCTTTTTACGCATGGCTGCGCTATGTGCGGCGTGTCTTTACTTTTCTGTCGTACAAATACAAATTACACGTAAGAGAGTTTCTTCGTTCCGGTTCGGTCCGTGTCTCTTATCACCTCTATCAAATGGAGTTCGAACTGTAGTGGTGCCTATCATATTTTCCCCCCTCCCTTCGTGAAGGCTTAAATGTGGTGTTTATTTCATACTAAAATATTATTATTTATATGTATTATTAGTAATGTTATGGCAATGTAAATATTCACGTGTTATAATATTTGTCTGTATTTTCTTTTTCTAATTTGTGTTTTGGAATGTAACACAAGGGGGCGCTAAGGGCGATTTGTATATAAGGAATGTAAAAGAAGCATTGGATGATTCGGAGAAAAAGCCAATAGGCTAGAGTCTCCATATTAATAAGAAAGAAAGAAGAAGCATTGGATACATTTTGTCTCTTCGAAGACTTGGTGCTAGAAGGATAAAACGACGACTGAGTGAAAAGGGAAGAGAAAAGTGAGAACTTGGACTGAAGACAACTAGTCTTATTGTATGTATATGTCCCCTACGACCCCGTTCTGGCTGTATTCCTAGTTTTAATATACGATTATCTTTGTTCTTAGTGTTGTCTGCTTTTCTTTGTTTGTTCAAAACACGACACTCCACAAAATGTTCTAGCAATTTCCGGTAGGATCTAACGCCAGCTCTGTCGTGAGTATAATCTTGAAATTTTTCTGCATTAAGTATATCTGAATCCTATTAATATATATATATATATATATATATTTTTTTTTTCTTTACAGAATGAAAAGCTGGCGGTTTTGGTGGTGGCTGCGGCCCAAGAAGATGAAGTATGANGCTATAATGAGCAAAAACTTAAGAAACTAATAAGTAGGTTTAAAATTGATAAATACAAATGTATTCTGACAGTTTATGAGTTAATTACGCTTTCTATTTGCAAAATTCCTCAACCTTAACACAAAATAAGAAAAAAAGTGAATTTTTAAGAAATTTGCGGGATTTCCCGGGATAAGAAAAATTTCCCGGGTTAAAAAAACAACCGGGATCCCGTTTGAGAAACCCTACCTGTGTCCATCTCCAACGTGTAAGCTATCTCCGTGCCATATTTTATTAAAACCTGTTCGGCGGTTTAGACGTGAAAAGGTAACAGACAGACAGAATTATCTTCGAATTTATATTAGTATGGATTACAGTAATATGAATTTCTGCTATAAGGGGTACGCGAGTTTGAGCTCTTTCTTGAAGTGGTAGCAGGAAAAAGTAATTGGGAACCACTGGTCTATTACATTACCGCAATATAAAAAAGCTCTTTTGATGAGTTCCCGGAATGCCGCTAGTTTGTATTGATAAGGATCATTTGAATTGAAAGGATATACTCTACAGTTGGCTGCGTGTTGGCTTGATGTGTACACCTATATCCTTCCATTTTTAAATTCCATATTTATGTCCGAAAAAACTACTACAAAAGTTATTGTGACAATGTCACAATACTAAGCTGCAATTTTTAATTTATATAAAATATATGCTGTCGAACTACAATTAGTAGTGTCTTGTCCCTGTTCATCATACTTTTCCTGATAACAGAATCATGCCGATTATCTATATAACTCCGTTCCGGAGAAAATTCAGTTAATTTGGGCCTCCAACTCCTAAGCTTTCCATATTTGGAAAGCTTTCTCGAGATTAAGGAAGAACAGACAAAGATAAACAGATGGCAGTGTAGTCGTGTTGAGTTAACTGGGCTACAATTTTTTCAAATCGTAGCCTAGTTAACTCAACACGACTACAGTTCACTATTTAGGTAAATCACCTTCAATACCAATCACATCTCGTCATCTTTGTTGCAAACTTTCAATCTTATGAGCATAAAATGACATGTTTTTCTTCGTAGGTCTCGAGCGTCGGGTATTGCATAGAACTGTAATTTGCAATATGATCTGTGTAGGGCGTGAGACAGATGGTAGTCAGCTCGGCTGTAAGGTGGATGAAGCAAACCAACCAGATTGGCCAGCTTCTTTAGTCATCTTTTCTCCATGAGTCAGAGTATTGTCATGGTGGTCTGGGCTTGATCAATTTTTGAATGTATGGGAAAACAAGTACTAACGTTCTGATGGCCAATTGTGGATCAGTTGCAGGAGAACGTCATCAATGCTTGTAGGAGTTCATCTTAAAGTGAACCTAGCCTTGTATATCATAGCCTTGTTGGAGTTCATCTTAAAGTGAGAAATCTTCATCCTTAAACCAAGTGTAGCAGATCTGCGTGCTGATTAGTGTCCTCGCGGAATGCCTTGCAGATGAAATCTTAAGCCTTCGTTGCGTTATGACCATTTTTGAAGTGACAAGAGCAACAATACACGAATGCGTTCTTTCGAAAGTTTCATAATGTCAGACATTGCTGATGAGTCTATATCCAATGAAATACCCACTCGTTACTCATAGCCACATCGAACGTTCTAGAACATTTTTTCCAGAAAATATAGAAATATCTAAACTTTAATCTATAAACAATTGATATTTTCAGAAACAATGGCAAATCCAAACGTTTGTTTTCAGATAACTACAATATTAAATTACAATTTTATTATCCTATTTTGAATACACATTTAAATTTTGAAAATAAAAACGTTCAAATACGCAAAAACTGAAGTCAATCATACCGGATGCATTCCGTTTCCGCATATTAAGATTTAAAATTTTCGCGATACTCTCTAAAGGCTAATTTCCACATCCTTAGAAAATATAAAAAAAATAGAAAGTACTTTTTTCGTTTAACAAAAAAACGTAATGTTACTTTCTGTCCAAAGTTTCTATTTAAGAAATCCAGACAAATCTGGAGAAAATACTTCAATTTTTCCATTATCGTTGGATCTTCTGTCAAGTTTCCACCAATATAAAAACAATGGTTATGACGCATAATAGTAACGTTTTGTGTCGAAGGATAACGATACTAATCGAAAACAACGAGGCGTAGTAAAGAATTAATTTTAGAAGAGACAGGAAGTAATTATTATAAAGGTAAGAACAAAATAAATAAAGTTGCCAATCTTAATTGCAGACTAAGTACAGTAATACCCCGAGTTAAGCGAACCCAGAGTTACGCGATTTTCAAATCTCGTCGATTCGTCTTTTGTTTGAGCGTCCCGCAACCCTTGATTACTCACTCCCCCCACACTATTGTTCAGCTTACATGTTCGGACGTGTCGCGCGGAATCCACACACAGATACAATTTATTTTGTGTTATTTATTTCTGTGTTTGTTATATCTACGGAGACTCGAGAGACTTTACTATGTCATCCAAACGAAGTAGAACTAATTCTTCTGCTTCAAACAAGAAAAGAAACTATCTTTGGAATGTAAAGTTAACATTGGGTATGTTCGTAAAGTCGAACGAGTTAAACGAGAATGACGTCATCGTTATTCCTATTTCGTTAGACTTTTCGAACGATTCGTTACTAACGCGTTTAACTCGTTTGACTTTACGAACGTACCCATTATTAAAAAACTTCGATACAAAAATGAAAATTTGTGAATTGGCAAAGAAGTTTGATCTACCGGAATTGTCGGTCAGAACAATTATAAAAGGCAAAGAAAAAATTCTCGAAGCTGCGAAAACTGCTCAATCTTTAAACTCAAGCATCATTCGTAAACGTCACAGTATTATCGCTGAGATGGAAACAATGTTAAAATTATGGCGTAATAATCAAAAGTGAAAAATTGTAAAATAATATAGGCCTAATTTGTTATACGTATGTATTATCTAAGATTTTATTAAACATTTTTTATAAATTATTTTCTTTAGTCTCCGGCCCCAATTAAAAATTATTTGTATGTATTTATATGCGAAATTATACTCTGATTTATGCGGTTACCGCTCGGTCCCACCTATCGCGTAAGTTCGGGGTAATACTGTAATTCAATTAATTTAATTCTGCTCGCGATATTCAGTTACGGACAAGCATTGTACTGCGAATCCTTTTATATTCGTCCCTTCTAACCCCCTTTAAATTTTGGCCAGACATTTTCCGATCACCCTGTATATATATTTTAGCTCTTTCCGCCCTTTGGGCACTAAGAGGGCCTCTTCTTAGCAAGCCCATTATAGGTTCGGCGGCCAGGTGGTGAGGGACGGGGCCCGACATACTCAGATACGATCAAGATGGCAACCTACTGCTCTGGGGGACTAGGAATTTTTCGGGGGTGGTCCGCCCGGATATGTCGGGCCCCATCCCTCACCACCCGGCCGCCCAATTGTGGGCCTGGCCAAACTCATAATGGACTTCCTAAGCCCCCAGTGCACACGGCGGAGAGGGTTTAAAAAAGGATTATTTTGTATTGATAATTGACAATTATCAATACAAAATAAACATTAAATTTTATATAACTTTCAATTAGCCTTGCTGAATTTTTCAAAATGATTTATCTACTCACATGGAAAAAAACTAAAAATGGTAACCTTAAAATACAATTTAAAGAATTTGCAATAATCTAATAGTCTAAATTTCTTCTTTTCCTAATCATTATAATTTTTTTTAATTTAAATAGACTAATGACTGTGCTCTGACATATGAATATCATTTATAGAGAAAATCTTAGCTAGGTAGCAAATATAAATAGGACAAATCAGAGAATTTTTATATATTTTTAAATTCAAATTTTAAGCTAGTTAGTTATGTTAGAAATAGCAATACTTGTTCAGTTACCTTAATTGAAAGTTATTTTCAGTAACATATTAAATTAAAACTAATGCATTTGCTTTTTTACTATGTACTTATAAATTCATTTTTAATATCTTCAATTATTTTCATAAAACATTGTATTATATTAAACAGAAATATGTAATTGAATCATCACCAGATGTTAAACAATGTTATATCAACTGATACTCATACCTCACAATAGATTAAATTTATACTTAGCATTTTAAGTTTTTTTTTTTGGATTAAACAATCTTTTTCAGAGCAAATTGATAAGGATTTCTGATATTGAGGATATCAATCCCCAGTCCCACTAATATTGTTAAATTATTCTGCATTATAAATTTAATATGTATTTAAACAATAAATTATCAAAATTATAAAACATTTTATTTAGCTTTACAGATTAGTAGCAAGAAATGACTAGACTATTCCAAAATAATTTTTAAAATTGCAACTACCAAGTTAATTTCCATAAACAAAATGAATAAAATACATGAAAAAATTTCACATGCTTTGAATAATAATTTTGTTAGCAGTTTTTAATTAAATGCAAAAGTCTCACACAGTTCAAATTAATTACATGATTTTAAAAACAATTTCGTGTAGAATATTACTAAGTAAAAAGTAAATAAGTCATTGGCATATCAAGCATTCCTGCTAAATCTATGAACTGCCTTCCTAAACTTCAAATTTTCAAGAATGAAACTTGCTGAAATTGTTTACCATATTCTTTTCCAGTTATTGCTTCTGACAGCAGAGAAAACCTAGACTTTAAAGAAAATCATATTAAAACCTCTCAAAAACTTACACATTATCATCATCTAAACTTTGTTGACTTGTACTAGAAAATCAAATTCTGAAAACTAAATACAAATCTCTTTGAAAGAAAATAATACAAACAAGGTACTGAATTTGAGAAATGGTAGGAATCAATTGACACTGGAAAAATAATTTATGTACACAAATATTACAACTAATAGAATCTGCTTAAATTTTTAAGCAGATTCTATAATAGGCTAGTGTTGTCAACTGTAATTTTAATCCACAAATCATGTTAATTACACACACACTATCATTTTCCCCAATTTCAATAAAATAACTTATAAAATTCATAATTATCTTTTAATTTCTGCACCT